ATCTATCTATCTATCTATCTATCTATCTATCTATCTATCTATCTATCTATTTTGTCATCACCCATCTTGTTAGAAAGCTACTCTGTGCGGTGTACAGAACAGATAAATATTAATTAAAAAGACAATATAACAATAGTCCTAAATAAAGAATAAGTATATTCCAAGGATTGATGGCTTGGGGAGCATCATCAGGGCACCAGCCACCCCCAGGGTTGGTTAAAACTCTTCTTGCCCCACGCAAGCTGGCAGAGCCAGGTCTTCAGTCCTTTCCAGAAAGCTGGGAGGGTCGGGGCCCACCGCACCTCTGGGGGGCGAATATTCCAGAGGGTGGGGGCAACGGCAGAGAAGGCTCTCCTCCTGGGCCTTGCCAGCCAACCTTCTCTCGCTGACGGGGTCTGTAACACGCTCCCTCTGCCTGACTGGGTGGGCTAGCTTGACGTAATGGGGGTGAGACAGTCCCCCGGGTAGCCTGGCCCCATGCCATGTAGGGCTTTAAAGGTAATAACTAACACCTTGAATTGAACCCGGAAGCAAACTGGGACCCAATGCAGCTCCCACAGCAAAGCTGTTATATGTGTCATCCTTGGGGCACCCAAGATTGTCTGCGCGGCCGCATTTTGAACCAGCTATAGCTTCCGGATACTCTTCAAGCGTAGCCCCACATAGAACACATTGCAATAGTTTAAACGAAAGATACCAGGGCGTGAGTGACCGACCAGAGGGCCTCCTGCTCCAGGAAAGTGCATAACTGGTGCACCACACAAAGTTGGGCAAAAGCACTCGTGGCCACGACTGCCACCTGCTCAAGCAGGAGTTGTGAGTAGAGAAGGACCCCCAGATGACGCACCGGGTCTGTCGGGGCAGGGCAACCCCATCCAAAACCAAGGATGGTAAATCCTCGGATCAGAGGGGCCTCCAATCCACAGCCACTCCGTCTTACCACGGTTCAGCGAAAGGATGGTCATGGCATCACTCAAATCACCCACGATGGAGATGTAGAACTGATGATACCTCATCCCATGGTGGGGGATGATCTCACCCAGTGGTTTCATGTAAATGTTCAAAAGGAGCAGAAAGAGTACTAAACCTTGCGGCACCCTACAATGGAGAGGCCATGGGCTGGACCTTTTGCTCCCAATCAACACTGATTGGAATCGACCTTGGAGGAAGGAAGAGAACCAGCGCAGAAGTGCGCTGCCCATTCCTGACTACCCAAGTCGACCCAAAAAAATACCATGGTTGATGGTATCGAAAGCTGCTGAGAGGTCAAGAAGAGCAAGGATGGATGCACTACCCCATCCTGCTCCTGCCAGAGATCATCCATGAGTGCGACCAATGCTGTTTCTGTCCCATATCTGGGCCTGAAACCTGACTGAAAAGGGTCCAGATAAACCGTTTCCTCCAGGATCCTCTGGAGCTGCAACACCACCAACTTCTCAACCACCTTCCCGAAAAAGGGGAGGTGGGAGATTGGATGAAAATTGTCCAGTACGGTGGGAACCAGTGATGGTTTCTTGAGGAGGGGATGCAACAGCGCCTCTTTAAAGGCAGCTGGGAACACTCCCTTCTTCAAGGATGAATTTATCATTGCCTGGACCCACTCACATGTCTCTCACCCCCCCCCCCTCGAATAGCCTGAACCAGCCAGGAGGGGCATGGATCTAGTTGACAAGTGGTGGCATTGACCATCCGGAAGACCCTGTCCACTTCCTCGGGTTCAACAGGATCAAACTGTTCTCAGATAACAGGGTAAGTCCATACCCTGGGCACCTCTACACACCATGCCGCACTCTTGGTATCCAACTGGGACTGGATCCGAGTGATTTTATCCTCCAGATGCCCAGAAAACTCCTCTGCGTGGCCCTGTAAATGGGCTACTAGGCCCTCCTTTCCCAAGAGAGGTTGGGTGATCTTAAACAGGGCTGCTGGGTGGCATTCTGTGGATGCAATAAGAGCCGAGAAATGTTGACCTTTTGCCACGCTCACCGCCACGAGGTAGGCCTCAATAGCGGCTCTAGCCTGGGTTAGTGATCGTGTTCAGTGTTAAGTCTGCCCATCTTAAAAGGTCTTAATCTGTTTTCCCACCATAAAGGGGGGAAAATGAACATTCCATTTAAGCTCTTATAAGGAATTAAATCTATATTCCTTCATCTTGGGGAAAATGATACCATTTGCTCCAGGCTGTATCAGCTTTCCATATTTTCAGGCATGGGTGTATATGTGTTTATGTCTGTGTGTTGGGTCCTTCCCGTCATGGCTACAGTCAACAGAGGTTGAAACTGACACCTTCTGCATGAACATAATGTCTCGTTCTTCTGAACATTAACATGAGATGCTACCAAACCACCAGAAAGCAAAGCAAGTTGGCCCAGTTTGACATTCACCAGGCACAGGTTACTACATAATCAAGATTTAAGCTTTATTTGCAAAGGTCTGTGTAACAGTGCAGCATGATACAAGTTCTGGCAGCTCCTGTGCTTGTGCCCAAAATCTGACTTGTCACAGTAGATAAATGTCCAGGTCTGGCATCTTTATCAGGTTCTTGTCCTGCAAAGGGCAGAGCCTCCGAAGTCTCCAAAACCTCATGCAGAGGAACGGGTCTGGTTATGCAGAGAAAGTAGGGTGAGCCTCAACACTTGCCCACCACCCAAACGTGGCCGCCGAGTCCAAATGGACTACAGGAGGAGTCCAGCAGGGATAAGGAGGAGGAGGACTGTGGAGGGGCCAAGGAGAAGGCCTCCGCTGGAACGGCCCACAGCTTGATTCATGAGCTGCTCCTGCAGGCGATTGATGGTGTCCCTGGGGAAACAGACCATTATTGTGTTAGAGCATGTTTCTGAAACCTGTGGCTCTCAGGACCCCTCCCCACTCTTAAAAATTATGGAGGACCCCAAGGGAGCTTTTGTTTGTATGGGTTGTATTTATTAATGTTTACCGTATGAAAAGTTAAAATCGATCTATCTGTAGAATATTTACTTATTGAATCATGTAAAAATAAGAATATAAAACCCATCTGATATTAACACAAATAAAATATTTTTCATGAAAAAAACCCTATATATTTTTTAACAATAAAAAATAAGGAGAAGAGTGACATTGTTTTAAAGGTTTGCAAATATCCTCAATATCTGGCAAATAATTTTGATTTTGTGGTCTTGGGGAACTTTGAATGCATGACTGCCAATTCATGCAGTCTGTAGCAGGTCATAGATTAATGGACAAAGGGAATGGTGGCCAGGCTGTTCAAGAAGTTAGCCATGACAGCTAAGACAGGAACTTCCCCGTCTGGAGACCATCTCCCTCTGAATACCGGAGGCTGAAGACCGAACCAGGAGAGGAACATCACCCTCTCGCCTGCTTGTACGTTTCCTGGCATCACCTGGCTGCCCACTCTACAAACAGAACCTTGGCCAGAATTTCCAGCAGGGAAATTCTTCAAAATTCAAAGGTATTTTGAATTTTAAAAAATTAAAAATTAAAATTTTTTAAAAAAGGTATTTATAAACGTAGGATTGTCATTTTGTGTTCTTACTGTTGTTGCTCCTTCTTCTGCTGGGTGTCCTTCAGATCCTGCTGTAAGTTGGAGAGTTGTTGCTTAAGCTGGTTAATCTGCTCTAAAGAAAGGAATCAAGAGTCACAAATTACCTTCTGCTTCTTAAACTCAGTTCATACTGCAGTAGCTTTCCTCACTCTCTGCAGTTTCTTTCCATTATCTTCAAGCATGGCACGGGGCTTTTTTGTTGTTGTTGAAAGGTTAGGCTTAAACACTTCCCCGCCATACTTTCACACAGCATGCTGAAGTTTGCACGGGGTACCATAATGCCGCTTAAACATCAGATCAATTGACTCGATGGCGAGAGGCCTGAAGAGATGCCATTCAACTTCGGGGACCCAAAGTGATGTCCCAAATTATATTGGGACCTCTCCAAATTATTAATATCAAGGCACAATGGGTAAAAACTAGACTTTGTCTTTACAATTCCATAAGAAAGGTGGGTTTAGCTCCTAGATCATTTCTGATTTGCTGGGCAGATCAAGGGCGACCAAGGTAGGGCCCTGACCTTCATTGGACAATGAGAGTCAGTCTCCCTAAAAAGATTCCATAAGACTGGGGATCAGGGCCAGAGTTTAGACAGGGTGAGGTCCTAAACTGTGGGAAACCCGAGGCTCTATCTGGCAAGCACTAATGGAGAATAAGGCTGTGGAACAAGTGAATTTGGCAAGAATGCCACTAAGAACCACGACACACCCATAAAAGGGTATAGAAGAGCCTCTTTGAAGAAATGGTAGGAATGTATGCAGAACCAAAGCAGATCTTAATCAATTAATGAGGGTCATGGGAGCCATACAAGAGGAGATTTTCATAGAAGAAATTATAATAAAACTGTGACAAATGAAAAAAAAAAAAATTTAGAGGTCCCTTTTGGACTGTGAGGCCCTAAGCTGTAGTTTGCTTAGCTTACGCCTAGAAAAACACTCAGAAAACCTGAACAATTCACGAGGAAGGAACGCAAATTTCTGCCTATGAACACCCAAGCACAAGGTTCAAAACACCTCTCTCCTGTGATCTTCTCTACAGTGAATGTGAGCTGAAACACAAGAACTTAATACTGTACCTTACAAGAGGTACAGTAGTTTAGCTTAGCTGATGGTTTCCACTTTACAGTGGAACCTCGACTTATGAATTTAATCCGTTCCGTGACTCTGGTTGCAACTCGAATTGGTCGCAACACGAGGCAAATTTTCCCATAAGGTTCAATGTAATTACCGTTAATCTCTTCCGGTGTCCGCGGACCATGTGTCAGGGGCGGAAAAACGGCCGCGGACCACATGGCAGGGCGGAAAAATGGCCGCAGACCATGTGTCAGGGGTGGGAAATGGCCGCGGACCACGTGGCACGGGCGGGAAATGGCCGCGGACCACGTGGAACGGGCAGAAAATGGCTGCAGACCATGTGGAACGGGCGGAAAAATGGCCACGGACCACGCAGAACGGGCAGAAAAATGGCTGCGGACCACGTGGCACAGGCGGGAAAATGGCCACAGACCACGTGGAACGGGCGGGGAAATGGCCGCGGACCACGTGGCACGGGCGGAAAAATGGCCGCGGACCACGTGGCACGGGCGGAAAATGGCCGCGGATCCGGTTCGTATGTCAAGGCGCA